TATTAAACACTTACGAAATATTAAGACAAATGAAAAAGAAAACAAACAAACAAAAAAACTTCAACACAAATAGCCATAAATCTTGATATTTAAAAATTTGTTTGTACTTAAGAGCTCTTGTTTTATGAAAGTCATAATCTAGAATACTCATTGTTTAAGGGTACTACAAATTAATGTCCTCCAATAATAACAAAAGAAAAAAAGAGCAAAGTGCAATTAAATGCTTCAGTCATACAACTAAGTTAAAGGCAGTATGAAAACCAAATTTGAGCACTAACAAGACAATTTGCCAAAAATAATTACTAGACACCGTTAATCAATGTACCAGCAACAATACTAACCAAAAATGATGCAAAATGTTCTGATGTCATCACTGCATTAAATCCAACAACTGGCACCAGTGCAGCCAACAATGTTCCCAAGACAACCTGAATTGTGAAATTCGGTATTGCAAGATGAGCTAATGAATCACGCACAAAGGTTAACTTTTTACAGGGTATTATGGTTTTGCATTTTTAGTAATTTATTCAAAATCTTCACAAAAAAAAAAAAAAAATCATCAGGAAAAGACACTCCAAGTTAAGCCAGTCGTCACTTACAAACGGAGCATATGCAATGTACAATCGAGAAGAATAGCGTCCAGTTACAATGCACAAAAGTGCATGCATCGGAATAAGATTAATAATGAATGTGTAACCTCCCCAAGAGCAAACCTGAAGGGAGAGGGACATGAAGAAATAAATAAATAGAAGAAGAAGCCGAAAAGAAAAAGATGAAACTCATGGGAACGCAAATAAGATAAATAAGACTAAAATTATAAAATGATGAAGCACAAATAAAGGTATCAACAGAACAGGAATGTAAGTCTTACCATGTAGAAATATGCAATAGCGTTTAAAGTGGCATAGAAAAGGGATCCCGTATTCAATGTCTGCATTTCATATGCAACCAATTCAGTATGATTAAGTAGAACATAATAAAACAATGTACAGATGCATCAATGAACTTTGCTTCCTATTAAAATAATAATAATTAATATAATAATAAGAATATGGTATATAAAATTAAGCATCTGAGAAGCATCATACAGATGAATTCATTGAACAGTAACTCAATCTGACTACAGTAAATCAACTTCTTTAGAAATAATATTTGATCACCATTAAATTAAGCATGCCACTATCCTGGACAAATTTACATTTTTTCTCATATAACAAAACCTGACCTTCAAATAAAGATAGAAAGTGAAGATCAGAGCAAATATAGCTACAGCTTCATTGTCATAGCTGCCAGCTACAGACCGCGATATATACGATGGAACCTGTAAAAAAAATGAAGTAGCAACTGAACTATGTATTTTCACATACATGCATTGGAAAGTTTTAAACAAGCCCACATTTCTTATTAAACAAACATGATCTAGAATGTATTCTGGTCCAGCAACCTCCGTGCAGGGAAGAGTTTTGAGATTTTGCAGCAAATTTACATTGGGACTTGGTTCATACGAAAGCAACACGACAAATACAAGACATATTGACCATTCCATTAAAAATAGAATGATAGAAATTGGATGTAGATCAAACTTTGTGGAGGTATGGGTTATTAGCAATGAGGAGTAACCATTTCAATAAGAAACACTAACAATCTGAGCACTCAGCCATACTGAGCTTAAGGTCGCTACAATTAACTGATTGGGTGTGGCAAATAAATGAATCAAACTTAAAATGTCCAAAGTTATAGTGAATAGGGAAATGTCAAATGGTTGGTGTTTGATGTTATTGCGAAGTGGAGATTCATAGTTTTACAAATATCAGTGATGTGTAAATACCATGGCTAAAAGAGCTGCAGCTGTCAATCCAGCACCAGCACCTTTAACTTCCTGAGAAATAGCACTGGGGGATTATTTTGACAATCAGAGAGCATGATGTTCAAAAAAATATGGCACGTTGCAGAAATCCAAACCTTTGTTAACAGGTAAGTTGCCCATGAAGCAAAAGCAGAGAATATGGGTGCAGTGAATACACAAACAGTTTCCACAGACAAAGGAATGTTCATGGCATTTAATACCCTAGCAGAAAGCAATAAAGAGAACATTAATCGGTATAGGGCACTAATAGCAAGGATTACAATTTCTTCCACCACGTTAAGAAGAGGCATCGGTAAGGAATGCTTGTCTCCTTAACTGATAGACAGGTGAGATGATTAGAAGGATTGATATTTGTGAATCAATTAATATAAGTTCTCAAATACACACCGCCATAATGTGCCTGCAGTTAGTGTGAGACCGGGATAAACGGTTCCACCAATTACTCGCCCAAGAGGATACCTAAAGAACATTGACGGACGAAACCGCTTTACAGCTGTTAGAGTAAAAGAAACGAAAGTCCGATGCATGAAGACTTAGCTCTGAGAATTTGCTGCCCAACAATGTAAAACTTACCAGGTCCGATCATCAAACCAGTTCCAAAATTCATAAATTCCCTTCTTTGAAAGATACTGAAAAGAAAAACACAGAAATCAACTTCCGGTGCAGTTGTGGATGTAATTTGAAGAGGATGGCATGCAAGATTATCGAGCAAGGCTAGCATACTATGCCCGTAATCCCTAGCCTTCATTGTAAGAAATTCGTATAAGCGATAAAATGAACAAGTCTACGTCAGAAATCAAACCTGAGTAACTCTGTAATTAAAATAAGGATCAAATTCGTGAATAACACTCTCATACTTTATCACCTGCAAATCATTGCACGAAACAATGTGACTAAACACTTATACTAACATAACATAATCAAAAAGTCAACCAAATTACAGACTCTGGACCCTCTATGAACAAAAATCCTCGTGTCATATAGACAAACGAGACAGATGTAGCATTCGAGCAATAATTTACAACGAGCGGACAAAACGTGGATCCTTAATCCGAACCATCGTTTCTTTACTCGGCTTTGTCGTCGATCCAGATGAATAATTAAGAGAGTTTCAGATCAAGAGTCGAGGAGAAATAAGAGATCGAGAAACTTACAGAGAAAAGCCGAATTGAGAATGCGAGAACGCCGATCAAGATGAGAATGAGGAAGGATAGAACATTTCCGAATGCGTCCCTAAGCGTTGATTCCTTGGAGGAAACTGAAGCCGCCATTGACGGCCAGATAGAGGTGTGAGAGCGAGTGCCAGAGGAAAGACCGCGAAACGAGAGTAGGTTGCAGCAACTCAACTGGAAGAGAACCGGGAAGGTACAGACGACTTTGCAAACATGGATTCCCGAGTCTAAGTCCCAAGTCCAATTTTCCTTACCCTCGAAATTACTCGATGGATGGATTAATCCATAAAAAATTACTATTTGACTTTCATGATTTTACGACTATAATGGGCATATCGACCAATCACAAAATTACAACTACTATTTTTCTTTTGAAAAACTACCCTTTTTATTTATTTCTATTTAATTCTTAGCTTTTAATTTAAATGTTTACATTTTTACCATTAGTTTTTTACTGAATACCAATTTTCAATCATTACTGTTAATATACATTAATTTATAAATTAAATGATTTTCCTATTAAAATTAATTGCAAGTTTCCAAATTAAAATTATTTTAAATTAATTAGTTGACAAACCTCAAATAACACAAGTGAATAGTATAAAATATAAAATATTGAAAGTTAGAGATCATATTAAAAAAAAAATTAAATTTAAAATTGGTTACATTTTTTAATTCAGAGAATATATTCAAAACTTAAATACGGAAATAACTTTACAACACGGGGCTACATTACAAAAAGTAATTGTGAATTTTTTTCCGTTTTAAAAGTATCAATACTATTATTATTGAGTTTTTATAAATTTGTTAGCATATTTTGACTTAATTTTGTACTTGTGACATAATTTGGGACTCGAGCACGTGTCTCTTTTCAAAACGTAACACATTTATTTGAGATTGTTTTCTTCAAAACGTTTTTATCTTCTATTGGTGTTTAATATCAAACTAATAAGTATTTCTTGTAGTACAACGACATAGAATTACTACAAAAATTACTTTATTCCGAACACAAACAATTTTATTTACGATACAAGCAAGGATAAAATTAATATAAAAACGAAATAACTCAATGTATTTATCCATTATATCACACCAATATCAAATGAAGAAAAGTAGGAAACAACGAGTTAAATTAAAATAGACTATTTATTTTGTAGATAATGAGCGGTGGGAGGTGGGAGCCACCACTGGAATAAAATGCTTTCTTGGATCTAAGTTTCGATAATAGCGTATTTTTTTGTATCTTTATTGATATTTAAAAATGACGTTTAGAAAATTCGAAGTTCTTAAATCTAAAATTATTTAGTATGTAGACTTAAATATTATGAATTTTCCGTGCTTAGTTGTTTAGTGTTAATTAATATATGTGTGTGTCAAGTAGTATAGTTGTTTCGTATAATTTTGGGAAAAGTCATATTCAACACGGAAAATTGTTTAATATAAAGTTCTAAAAGATATTCGTCTATTATCCCTCGATCATTTTTTTACATAAATTTTTATTTTTTTAATAGATTTTTAAATTATTATATCCCGTTGTCTTTTTAAAATGTATATGTTATATATATATATATTTGCTCTTTAAATTTATATTTTAAATTATATTATTTTTTCGAATGTTTTACAATTTTGTTAAAGCATTGGTTTCAATTTAGGATGATAAATAAGTTTACTATTACTTATTTATTTATTTTTTGTGTTGTTTCGTGTACAATTAGAATTAGATTTCGATATAATTTTCAAATATTATTAAATAAAATTTGTCAATTCTAAATTTTGAATTTAAAATTTATTTTTCAAGCTTAATAAATATATTTTCGAACGGCAAGTGAACGTTGAAGAATGAACTGGACCAGGGCATTAGGGCTCCACTCCAGCCCATCTACCTAAAGTATAATAATCTGGGTCACGTGACTTGTAATTTTTGAAATATGAGGAACACGTGCCACTCCGATTTGAACCTGAGAAGCCCGCACACAACGCTCTGGAGCCACAAAGGCAGAAACCCCTCCTACTTTTCTTCTCCTTCTCTCTCTCTTTCGCTGAATCGGAGCGCCCATGGAAGTCATACTTGCAGACTGTGTTCATCACAGTCTTCGCCATTTCATGTACCGGAATGCCATTTTCATGTGCGAGAGACTCTGCTCCGAGTTCCCTTCTGAGGTTCTACATCTCTTCTGCTTCAAAAATTCACTAATTCACTTTCGTTGTTTAGCTCTTCCGTTGCTTCGAAACGCTAGGAATTTTTAGTATGGGAAATTATGGTGTTGATTTTGGAATCAGTCCGGAGTAGGTCGTTCCGTGTACTCGTTTTGTTTTTTGTTTTTTGTACATTGGTTGTTTAAATTAAAGTGGAACGTTTACGCTGCTTGTGCAAATTGGATATGTGGTGCGTCCCACGTGTTTGATTTTTTGTGATTTGGTTTTACTTACAGCCTTCATCTCCTGTTCCTCCAAAAAAGGACTGTGTTGATAGTTGTTCGCAGCGGCAATGTATCCTTCGTGTATTGTTTAACTGGAAATTTGTTTTTTACCAGCCTTATTTCATGAAGATCGAAATTTGAAAACATATGAGCAATTGAATCATAGTTGATAGTAAATCTCTGGACCTCTTGTTGAATCTCGTTGGAAAAAAATCAGAGTTGAAAGGAAAGTCGAAAATGGGTTTAACAAGCGGCTTAAATGTCCCGATGAACCCCTGGGGGTAGCCATAACAACTCGCCCCCAAGGTTTCTAATTTTCCGAAGAGTCTGTAGCGTATAGATATGAACAATCAAATATAATCTTTGCTCTCTCTCCTTGTCTCTTCTGTGTTAACTTTGAATATTACCTTTTGGTATTTTCCCTTTCATTTCTTCTTCTTCTTCTTCTTCTTCTTCATTGTTATTGTAACAATTAGTTATTCTTTTCGCTTGCGCATGGCTCCCATTATCTGAGTCAACTCTATTTGTTGACTTCTGTCTGCTGATTGATGTGGTTACTTAAGAATTGAATTACTTTCTTTCAGCATTTTATTGATTTCTCGTTTTATTTTCTCAGACAAATATGCAGTTACTAGCTGGCTGTTTTTTGCACAACAATCAGGCTTATGCTGCATACCATATATTAAAAGGTAAGCAGGATTGATGTTCAGTTTTGTCCTATCCATTTTGGGAATTAAGGTTTCCATAACTGAAATTAGTATATTCCTTTTAAGCTTTAACGACTTTTCTCTTGAACTTTTATTATTAGTTTGTCCATGTATTTCTCATCCATGAACTTTTCCCCTTTTTCTCTCCATACTGATATGAAGGAACACAAATGGCTCAATCCCGCTACTTGTTTGCAATCTCGTGCTTTCAGATGGATCTTCTTCATGAGGCAGAGGCTGCATTATGTCCACCTAACGAGCCTGGTGCTGAGGTATTGAAGAACTAATATTGACTGCAATTTTTTTGTTGGTTACCTTCTGTTTTCCTCTTAGAGTGTAAAATTCATTGATGCTGTTATGGTCTCTTGTAACATGAATTGTGTGGGATCAGATGCCCATTGTATAGTTAATAAAGTCTGTATCTATCATATGGTGCCTAGTTTATCTTGTGCATACTCTGGGAGATAATATGTCTGTTGTATGTGTGTTTCTTTTTGCAGATTCCAAATGGTGCAGCAGGTCATTACCTTCTTGGGCTGATTTACAGGTTGCTATATATTTTTTTTTCTGTGTTCTGTTATCAGCTTTCATGCATTAACTTCCCTTCGCTCGATACATATTTACACATAGAAGCAGAGATGTTTTATGTGGTCCATTTTTAATTTTTTTTTGTTGAGGGACTACTACTTATGCTTTAATTTCCCTCCATAACTTTTGCATGGATTTTCTCGTTATAGGTACACTGACAGAAGGAGAAGTGCTATTCAACATTTTCAGCAGGCATTATCTATAGATCCTTTGATGTGGTGTGCTTATGAGGAACTTTGTATATTAGGTATATACAAGTCTTCACTGATCCATGTGAAATGTGGCATGTGCATGTAGTTGTAGGAAGGATCTTCTCCCTGTCTAAACTGATTTGTCCAAGTTTGACTAGATATATTTAGTTGGCTTTCATGATACTGTAGTTGTGCATATTATTTTTGTATGAGGTACATCGTATCTTATTAAGCCAATTTAATTTCCCTTTACTCACTGATGATCCTTTGTTGATTGAGATTTATTTTTCTTTTGGGGAAACAACTATTTGAGTTGAGGATAAGTCAGTTCTTTTTCTGTTAACTATCTTAGGTGCTGCTGAAGATGCATCTTCAGTTTTTGGTGAAGCGGCTGTTCTCTCCATTCAGAAGCAGTATCTACATCATAGATCTGAAAACTTGCAGACATTAAATGATGATCTCAACTCAGCTTCTGCTAGGAATAATAATTCAGACGAAGTCCGGATAAGGCAGTTAAAACACACTCAAAGCAATAATTTAAGAGATATTCCTACAAATTATCAAGGAACAGTTAACTTGGGAGGAGCTGCAAGTCAAATTGTTAATGGTGGTTCAAATATATCATTTTATAACACCCCTTCACCTGTGGCTGCACAGGTATGTAATTATTGTAATGTGTGCCTTGGGTGTTGATGGTGATTGTTTGGCTACATTTATTTGAAAATTGCATTGATAGATCTATGGCTTGTCAAGGTGGTAGATTTTTGTTTCCCTATTCCCGTTCCTTTTCTCACTGTCATGTTACCAAGTATTTAGGCATAATTTTCTTTATTTTGATGAAATAGCATCTCTGTAACTTAGGTTTTTCCTTTAGTGCCTTCTTTGGTGTCATAGGTTGAATATGGCATATTGATGAGATGGTATATTGTGGATATCTATTTCTGCTTCTATATTACTTCTCCAGTTTTTTTTACCTTGCATATTTATCATTTGGAATATATTTCTCTGCCTTCTGACTTCTTCGCTGTTAATATTCATACTCACATTTTACTCATTATCTGTGCTGATCTCCTTTACATCACGTTATGTGACTAATTCGTCATTTTTTAGAATTTGCAGTTATCTTCTATTGCTCCTCCACCTTTATGCCGAAATACACAGCAGAATGGATCTAGTATTAACTCACTTGGTGCAGATAACTGTTCAAGGTCAACTGTAAACTCTATTATACAAGCCCCTCGAAGAAAATTTGTAGATGAAGGGAAATTACGTAAGGTAAAAAATGTTGGAGAAAATTTGTAGCAGGATGTATATCTCCCTCTCTGCTTTATATATAGAATTCATAATCATATTCACGGGTTCATTTTCCTGTCCTCAGATTTCAGGAAGGTTATTTTCTGATTCTGGCCCTCGAAGAAGTAGCAGACTTGCTGGGGAAGCAGTAGCCAATACTAACGTAAGTGCTGCTAATAATGGAACTACCAACTCCACCAAATATCTTGGTGGGTCGAAGTTGAATTCTATTACACTTCGTTCTATGGCAGTTCGCAAAGGACAGTCCTTTGCAAATGAGAATATTGACGAAGGTACTTTTTGTCTAACTTCCATCTGCTGTATGTTCAAATATGCACAATCATTTTTGTCAGATTGTCTTGTAGTCACCTATGGAGAGTAATTTGAATACTGAAATCTTTTACTATATCTGGTACTAGAACTGTACTTTTTGGGTTTTATTTGATGAAAGTAAATTTCCACAAACTTAACATGTTTTAGCTATTAGATTACAGTTTGCACATATAATCATACTTTATTTTGATTTAGCAAATCTTTGGCTACTAATTTTGCCTTCTGGGCTTGAGAACGATGACTATGTGTGGAGTGCTTAACGATTTGGATTGCCTAACCTAGTTTCATGCAGAAATATTCTTGAACTGTGTTAGGTTAGGGTCAACTCTGTCATTTAAACTATTTGATAGCAACTCATATCCTTCACTCACAGATATGTATGAGTGCTCAGAATTTAATGTTCCATTACAGAGTTCATGGAATTAATATTATCTCATCTACATATGTGTTTCAAATCTTGAATTTCTAAGAGATATTGGTTTTTATTTATATATTGTAATTTTGGCTAGTTTTAAATTGCAATGAGCATACAAAATACAAGTTCGATCAAAGTAGTCAATTTAACTACAAATAAGGATTCCAATCTGCAAGAATAAGACTTAGTCATAATAATAAACAATCCTAGTGATTGAAGTCCATCGAAATCTATCAAGAGGCATTAAACCTGGCCTCCTCCCAAACATCCTCATCTAGTCTCTCAACGTCTCCATAATTGTATCGTTCATCTTCAGCCAAATAATCCACGAAACAAAAAAGCTAGCTCACAAGGGTCAATAACTCTCATATATGGAAATATTCATAAGAGTTGGCGACTTCCCTAAGGATTTGCTTATGTTTTAGTAGGTCTGCTGGTGTGTCAGTTATCTACCAATAACATATACTTCAAATTGATCATGAGGTGCTATTACTTATAATTGTATACTCTCGTTTGGTCCTTGGGTATCATTTGATGTAATTATCATTACATTCAATAATTATCATTGATAAACTGATGAGCATCTGATTGATCTATGACTATTATTTTAGGTATTCAAAATGAGGCTTTTGATGATTCTCGATCCAATGCCTCATTATCCGTCTCCAGTTCATCACCTTCTAGTGGTAATAGGACTCTTGAGCAAGGAGCAACCAAATCAGTTGGAGGAAGTCTCACAAATGATGCTAAAATAATTAATGGTGCTTCAGAAATATTAGGCCTCCTGAGAATATTAGGGGAAGGACATAGACTTTCATGCCTGTTCAGATGCCAGGTATCAATAGTAATTGTTGATATATAGCTTACACAGATTATTCGCTGAAAAGATAGCGGAAAATAATTTTGGACTCTAAAAATGGTCTGTAATCAACTGTAATGTTTAAATAGACTTCTTCTTGATTGTACAGGATGCTTTGGATGTCTACCTAAAACTTCCTTACAAGCATTACAGTACAGGCTGGGTGCTGTCGCAGGTATTGTGTGCTACTTTCATGATCTCTTAACACAAATAGTCATGTCTGCCTTCCAGATCAAATTGTTGTTGTGTTAGTTTCCCTCTGCCTAAACTGTTCCTGGTGATTATTTCTGTTGAATAAGGATTCAAACAGTTGCTTTTTTTCTGTATATAACTATCAGAAATATTTTCTGGCACTTGATTTATTTCACTTCTGGGCCTACTTGTAAAACATCCTTATGAAAAGTTATACTTTCATATCACTCTCAATATTCTTAATGGTGAATGGTGACCATTGGATTACATGACCTTGTTATTTGTAACAATAATTAGTTCTATTGATCGAGGGCCAAGTTCTGGCCAATGCTGTTTTATCCTCACTGACTACTTTGGCATGTCTGAATTGCAGGTTGGAAAAGTGTATTTTGAATTGGTGGATTATTTAGAAGCTGATAGAGCTTTCAGTCTTGCTCGCCATGCTTCACCTCACAGTTTGGAAGGAATGGATGTGTATTCTACAGTTCTTTATGTGAGTTCTTTTTATTGGTATCTTGAACAAAATGACCGCAAACCTGCTAGCATAGGTTTTAAGCACTTTGGTGACGGATTAGTGAGAAAGGTATAAAAACCTTGAGTGGTTGTCCGATGAAGCCACTGGACACAAACTAGGGAATTTATGTTTGCTGATCTTGTTATCTGTGCTGTATTATTGGAGGATATTTGTCTCTGTTTCAATTGTTTTTTTATGTACTTAAAAATTGAGATGTTATTCCTCTATGTACTTAAAATATGTTTTGTGCTTACTGCTTCTAGCTCCAGAACTTCTTTCCTCTTCCCTTGCATGGTGTGGGCAGGTTTTATTCACTAATCTTCTCCTGATCTTGTTGCAGCATTTAAAGGAAGACATGAAGCTAAGCTACCTGGCTCAGGAATTGATATCAACTGACCGCTTAGCTCCTCAATCTTGGTAGATATGCCAATTTATGTCGTACATTTTCTACGTTCCATGGGGGGGGGGTGCGCTTGTTATGGTCCAATTTTCAACTACGATTTTTTCTTCCATAAATTAGGCGCGTCAGTTTTTTTTTTTTTGTTTTTTTTTTAATTATTTTTTTTTAAATCCTACCTATGTGGAAATGCAGGTGTGCCATGGGAAATTGCTACAGCTTGCAGAAGGACCATGAAACTGCGTTAAAAAATTTCCAGCGTGCTGTCCAACTAAATCCAAGATTTGCCTACGCTCACACCCTCTGTGGACATGAGTATGCATTTTGCCCTCTGTATCATTTAGTGGACTTAGAAGTTTAGATTTTCACTAGTGCAGTGGATTTTTGGTGTTATGCCAGCTACTTATTTGTTATTTCCAAATCATAATCTTATTCTTAACTCAGATATGTGGCCTTGGAAGATTTTGAGAATGGAATTCAGAGCTACCAGAGTGCACTACGAGTAGATTCTAGACATTATAACTCCTGGTACGGACTTGGGATGATATATCTTCGACAAGAGAAGCTCGAGTTCTCTGAGCATCACTTCCGAATGGCTTTCCAAATAAATCCTCGTTCTTCTGTTGTAATGTCATATCTTGGTACATCTTTGCATGCGTTGAAGGTTCGTCCATTTGCCTATCACATTCATGGTTAATATGGTTGCTTCGTAAGATGATTTATTTCAATAACCTGTTGAATTTGTTCAATGATGTTTTAGAGGAGTGAGGATGCTATGATGATGATGGAGAAGGCCATCCTTGCGGATAAGAAAAACCCACTTCCCATGTATCAGAAAGCTAACATACTTATAAGCCTGGAACGTTTCGATGAAGCTTTACAAGTTCTAGAGGAGCTTAAAGAGTATGCCCCTCGAGAAAGCAGTGTGTATGCTTTGATGGGTAAAATCTACAAAAGACGGTACATGCACGAGAAGGCAATGCTTAATTTTGGCCTTGCCTTGGATTTGAAACCATCTGCCGCTGATGTAGCCACCATTAAGGTAATCTGTTTGCATATCCAACTTGTTTGTATCCTCAGATTTTCACACAAACTCAAGGCATAGAAAATTGAGACCTAAGTTTTTATAACGCATTTTGAAATTTGAAATCAAACTAGCATCTTTATATACTAACTAGAGCGCCGCATTCTGTTTCTAATATCTCAATGTCTCAACAGGCTGCCATCGAGAAGCTGCATGTACCTGATGAAATAGAAGACAACTTATGAGAATTCTCATTTTTCTAAAGGGAAAAGAAAGTGATGGAGAATACGGTGTAACTTATAATGAAAACGGGATGGAATTTGTTTGGCCTCAGGAAGCGAGTTAGCTATACAAGTACCGGCGGGATGTTGGGGCACCTGCGATCAAGTTGGCCAATCAATCTAGGCACTGGTAAAACCTCAGTTTGTGGGTGAGCTCACACACTAACAGAGTAAACTATGTGAGCAAAAGGTGCAAAAAGATGCCCCATTACTTGTACAAAGGGCATGTAATCGTGCCACAACAAATCAGTAATGCTATTAACCCATTCGTTGGTATAATTCTGTTCAGAAAATTATTTCCTTTTTCAAATCTGACCTATTAGATAACTGATGCTTGTCAGCAAGGAATGATCTACCTATATGCCATGACATCGGACCACCAAAAGTAGGGAGCTATTTCAAGGTATAAGATTTTTCTTAGTGATAATTGATGCCTTATTTACTCAGCTATATTCGTATTAACATCTATAAATCATTTCAAATTATTCTAGTGTTTTATGAAAATTGAATTCATATATATAAAAAAGTTAGTACTTATTTCATTTTCTTAGTTCAGAATGTGTCGGTAAAGATTCAAATCTTAGATGTTTAGTTAATGAGATGTATTTTAACAAGTTAAACCAATTGATTGATTTTATCTTTGTAAAATTACTAGACCGGCTTCATTCGGTTCAAAAGGGCACATCAGTCGGTATAAGGTTAAAAATTGCCAACTGTTTAGTTAAATTAAAAAAGAATATTTAAATTAGGTAGATAAATGAGTATAAAAGCATACTTTAATTTGAAGATTTAAATAACTTATAAAGGAAACATCAATTATTGAATTATATAAAGAAAAGGGGAGAAAAAGTAATGAAAAGACTTAGAAATAAAAATGGTAAGAAATGGAAAATAAATAATGAAAAATAAGATTTGTAGATCTCCAATACAAATATCTTAAATTAATGGGTTTTAGTGTTAAGTGGAAAAATCATGGAGGTTGGAGCTCAAATTTCTTTGTTGTTATTGCTTTTTCCCCCATTTCCTTTTATTTATTTTATTTATTATTTGATTTGATTTGATTTGACTCATAAAGCTTCCATTAAAAACCTTCCCTACACTCCAAACTCTTCCAATATATATTTATATCTTACAAAAAAATTATAAAAAAAGTACTACAAATTAAAGCAGGGGCATTTCGGTAATTTTGATCTTAATAAGGACCTATTGACTCGGTCTTTATATTTTATTTTTTAAATTTCAAGTGTTGTTTGATTCATTGAAAATAAAAATAAAATAATAATAAAAAAAATCAAATTATTTGTACTGTCTTTATCCAAATAGAGATGAATGCAGTACACAATTACTTTGTGCAAAAAGGAAATGAAATTTTTAAAGAGGATTGATTGGATAATGTTGTTGAAATCATTTAATCAAGGAGGTTTCCCCTTTTAAAGAAAATCATATTAATTGTATTTATAAAAAAAAATTAAAATTACATAGTTCTTCAACTTTGAAATTTTTATTTATTATAAATATTTGAATTTTCACTCACATATTATTAAATTAAAATAATCAGGAAGCGATCAAAAGACAAAGCAAATGAGTTTAATAAATTAATTTACTTGCACGATAAAATTATTTAAATACTTTGCTTAAAGAAGCTTAAAAAAAATGGTGCACTATTTTGTCGCTTTAAATAAATAATAAAACACTTTTCTTTCTTAGTACAAACAACAAAGAAATTAAAATAATATATTTCACTATTTACACGTTTATTAGTGCATCTTATGATTTTTTTTACTAATAATATTATTTTAAAAATATATATTATTTTTTTAATTGCAAGTTAAGTTTGATATCGGTTAGGAATCACGAGTCTCCGCAATGGTATGATATTGTTTTGAGCATGAGCTCTCGTGGCTTTATTTTGGGCTTTCCCAACGGGCTTCATACCAATTGAGATAGTATTGCTCACTTATAAACTCATGAAAAGGAAGTATTTGAAATAGTTTTTTTTTTTTTTTTTCAAAGAAAAACTAGGGGCAAAAAAAGTGGGAAAAAGAAGAGCCACGTGGAGGTCATCTAGAGAACCACGTGTTATGGTTGTCTGATCTGCCCGCCAATCGGGGAAGACTTAGCGAGAAAGAAACCACGGGATGGCTTCCAATCAAGGCATGACTCATATATTTATTCATAAAATAATCTTATTTTTATCGACGTGAGAAAATTATTTTTGCGAGTAAATTAAAATAATAATATTTTAAAACTTCATGTAATTAAAAACTTAATACACAACGGAAATAAATTCTTTAAATGTTTTAATATAATTAAAATAATAATAAAATTTTGTTTAACCAATGGCGAGGTTTTCTCTCTTTTACCAGTGGCATACTTAAGTAATTTTATTTCTTATCTCAGGGACATATCCGTCATTTCACTACCAATCTCTTCGAATTTCCGAAATCATAAAATTATTCAGAAAGAAAAAGAATAGTGCAAATAATCTCCTCATCCACAGCGCGTGTTATTCAACTCCCACTTTATTCATTAGTAAAATTTGACTTTCTAACGTTCCTTCCTTCACGCGTTTCTTCATCCGTGGGGTCTATGAACCTCCCTGTTAATCACAATTAACGAATCATAATTAAATTCCAATTAATTATTCCGTTTCTCTATAAATACACTAACGCCTCCTCCCTTTTCAACACAAATCAGAAAACCCTAAACAAATTAGCGCAAAAGAAGAAAGAAACAAAGAAGCTCTCTCATCTCTCTTTCTCTCTCTCGGGAACTTAGGGTTACAGATCGATTAATGGAAATCGAGCGAAAGAAAGCTATGGCGGCGAAGAAATTCTGGAATATGGTACGAGCAATCGTGTTGATGCTGCGTAAGGAGTTATCGAAGAGTCGAATCATAATGTCCGATCTTCATTTGATGATGAAGAGAGGCAAACTCGCTGGAAAGGCCATGTTAAATCTGATGCATCTCCACCAGATCTCCGGCAGTCTTAGTCGCCAAACGGCCACCGACATAGCTCATTCCTTCGCTATTGCTCCACAGGATTACGAGTTTAGTTGCAGCAACAGCCCTGCTTTTCCAGCGCTGCAGCTCTACGGCAAGCGTGGAGGCAAGCACCACCACAAGTACAGCGACGTTACCACCGTCAGTGCCGTTAAACGAGTGCTGGAGATGCTGAACAACGAGGCTACATCAACGACGGATGTGGCGTCGCCTATGGTGACGCTCGGGATGAGTCCGATGGTTAGGGTAACAGACTCGCCGTTTCCAGTTAAGGACGAGGGGGACCACAAGGTGGACGAAGCGGCAGAGGCGTTTATCAAACGGTTTTACAGTAACCTGAAACAGCAGAGGATAAAAGCGGCCTTGGAATCTCCGTCGCCGTACCACCGTATGTGGGGCCGGTGAAAGCGAAACGAACGGTTTTGAGGTGACTTGTCTGCTGTGGGATATTATCAGGACACCATATCCGTATATACTTTCCTTGCGAGAAGAAATCTGAGCTGTATAGAAGTTTGTCGATTTTCCATATATGCTTTTTGAGTGAACGACATGTCGTCTTCACTTTGTATACCCAACACCACCAACCAAGTACGGATCTCGACGATCATACTTGACCAGAAGAATTATCTTATATTTTTCTCTCTCTCTCTCTCTCTTTTTTTTTTAATATTTGAGAAAATAATAATAATATTGTAATGTTTTTGTTTGATTACTGGTGAACTGAGATACTCCAGGATCAAATGGGCAACTACAGCTTTAAGCCAATATTTTTGTCTTTCATTATAATTGAAGTTTATCTCTAATTATACATTATAATTGATGTTCATAAATGGAGAAGATATAGGTTATTTTAAAAGCGACCCAATGATTTTATTGTACATAATGTTGGATAAAAGTGTCCCACATTGATTAATTTAGAGAATGATATTAATTAATTTAGGGAATGATTATGAGTTTATAATCTAAGAATGCACTCTCCACTGGTTTGAGGCCTTTTAGGTAAGCTCAAAGCAAACCCGGAGAGCTTATACTCAAAGTGTTATACCATTGTGGAGAGTCATGTTCCTCGATTAAGACAATGAGGGATGTTGGAATAAATGTGAAAGCAAGAAAGAAGTCTCTTCTTTTGATAAAGTTGGATGTGTGGAATTGAATGCAGCCATATATTGTTTAGAGGACACGTGTTTAAACGTAAGTTAAGAGTAGCTTATTGACATTAATGAGGCTTAATATTGTATTTTGTTCTCTAAAATATGAATAATATTACCTAACTAAGTATTATTTTTAATAATGAATTTAGATAATATGTTAAATCAATAAATAAGATGATGTTAAATCATTAAAGGTGGAACAGTTAATTAATTAAAATGATTGGTGATGATAAATAAATGAAAATCACTTTTATTTTCTTATTTTGTCATTTTGCTTAGGATAAATCACTCAGATTATACCTTAAAACAGAAAGAAATAAATGGAGAGGTGGAGACAGTTATAACTGTAAACTGGAATAACGGTGTTTCGACGCTTGGAATTTTCTTCTATATATATCTTTTTCTATTTCTTGTTTTCTTAAATTTTAGATTAAGATAGTAAAAACTATATTTTAAGATCAATTCCCCAATTATTTATTTATTTATTTATCTATGTTTAAGAAAAATAAATTAGAAAAACGAACAAAAAAATTTGAGGTCTATTCGATAACAATCATGTTTTTATACGAGCTCTCGTATCAATAAAGATAACGTTTTTTATTTATATATATAAAAAAAATTCTCTTAATTAACTCATACGAGAATTATATTTAAAACTTTATAATATAATAAAATATAATTAGATTCGGTTCATCTTTAATAAAGAGACCAAATTTTATGGGGTTTTGATAAAGGGATATGAATAATTGGAAAATATAATGGGTTTTTAAATAATAATAGTGCCATTGTTCACTTTTTAAATTGGGTATTGAAAAAGATTTTTTTTTTAATATATATAGATAAATAATATTGGGAGTTGTGGTTGATTTTGTCTTAGGAAGTTCCATCTGAAGAAGTAAAATTAAAAGATGTGGCCATTAACAAAAGGAACCAAAAGTAGGGCTACTTTCAACAACACAAACTTTATTGAAATTTGAAAGTGAAATCTTATCTTTAATGCAAATTTAAAAGCTTATAAATTTGACGCTTGATACATAAGAATAGAATTATAAGTCTGATCAATCCATTTATTTTGTTTGTTACCTTTAAAGTTTTTCAGTTGTTAGTTCATATTGTTGGATGAAAATTCCAATGATCGTCGGTTTATTTATTGGTACGAGACATTTTAGAGAAACCCAAAGCAAAACCACGAGAGCTTATGTTAAAAGTGGACAATATCATACTATTATAGGGATTAACACTAGCTTCTAAACTATCATTTTCATATAAATGTTGTAATAAATTCTATCTCTGCTCTCCCTCTTTTCAAGAAGGCTTCACCATGAGGACCAATTGAGGAATCATAATATAACCCTTCAATTGGCGATGCATAAACAGATTTA